AAGTTTCTTGGGTGGCTTTTGCTTGTTGTGCCGTGAACCTTGCGGCGATCGAGAAAAAGAAGTGCCAAACGAGCAAAATAGTAAGCGTACGAGAATKACGTACTCTTCCTGGGGATTGAAGGTGTTCCGAGTGCCGCTCTTGTCAGCGAACTGTTTTGCGGAAAGAGACCACCATAACCGTGGTACCGGTACAGAAGGATGAAAAGAAGAAAAAGCGATGCTGTGTTTGTCGTGTGGACTGTGAATTGCGAGTGAGTCAGGTACGTACGAGTACTTGGTACGGGTACTCGTGCATACTATTGGAAGAAGGCAAGAGATTTTATTGTGATCTGTGATTTGTGACACAGTAGTTTATGCATGAGTACTCGTACGTATCGTATGTAAAGTACGTACAAGGATTAGTACAAGTCGATTACAATACTACCGTACCGTACGTACTTGTCGAGTACGTACCGTAGATTATGCGTTGGAAGTTACGCCAAGCAAAGACACTCCCGCACTAATCACAAAAACAAACATTTTCGTTGGGATAGTACGTATGTGCCGTATGTACGGTGTACGTAGTAGTTGTTGTGTATTTACGTAGTACTCGTAATGTAGCACTCATAGGCCCTCGGTTTTCGGTCAAGCGTCAAGATGATCGATAGCTGGTGTCAGGTTTCGTTCGTAGTAGTCGTACGCACGTATTCTGAATCATCGAGACTGCTCTTAGAATCGTACGAGTAAGTACGTACCGTAGTACCGTACGACTTTCGAATCATTGGTTCGACGGAAGGAAGGAAAAGACGAGATCGCAGGAAACCACAGTGAATGGACAGCAGCAGCAATCGATCTGTTGGCTGGTATGAACGAGACATGTCCCATGTGCCCCCCCTGCACTCCCACACAGATTTGAGTTGATGGTATTGTTGTTGACGCTGGTAGCACCGACATTATCATCGACATCGATCTTCTGACAACGTAACGGAATACGGCAAACAACCATCGGATTCCAATTCTCTGTTCCGTTCCGTCCCATCGACACTTGCAGACACTTGCAGACGCAGACGCAGACGCAGACGCATACGCATACGCATACGCATACGCATACGCGTACGCATACGCATACGCATACGAAGAAAGACAGCGCCATGAAGGAGCGGACCAAGGGACTCCTCATCATGCTCGCGGGGATCCTGGCCATCTCTCCCGACGCCGTCCTCACCCGGTACCTCGGCGAGGGGGGATCGGATCCGTGGACGACCGTCTTCTGGAAGATGGCCTTCGCCGCCCCGTTCTCGCTGGGCTTTGCCGTCTACGAAGCGGGCGGCCCGAGGAAGCTCTGGGCCTCGGTGCTRGACGCGAGGGTCTACTACGCGCTGGCCATGCCCCTRCAGGCGGCGGTGGACACCTGCTTCGTGCTGTCCTTTTTCTACACGACGGCGGCCAACGCCCTGCTGCTCATCAACCTCAACCCGCTGTGGTGCGCGATCCTGGGCCGCTTTTTGCTGGGGGACGTCCTGCCGAGGCGGACCTTTGTGGCGCTGGCCCTGTCCCTGGGGTGCATCGCGATCATCTTTGTGCCGGAGATCCTGGGGAGGAACGCCCCCGGCGGAGGAGACGACGACCCTGGCTACGGCGAAGACGTCGGCGTCGACGTCGACTATTACGACGTCGACTACGATCCGGGGGACGCATGCGGAAACTCCACGAGAGCACGATTGCTCGCCGGCACGAGCGAAAACAGCAACCTGCAAGAGTCCTCTACCAAGGGAAACGCGATTGCCTTTGCCACGGGCCTTGGCCTCGCCGCCTACATCACCCTCGTCCGGCACGGAAGCACGAGGGGGGAACGCAGCAACACCAACGCCAATGCCAATGCCAGCGCGAACGCAAACGCAAACGCCAATCCTTCGCAAACCAGCGATCCAGCGAAAGAAGACGGGGCCAAGCCCCCGCCGCTTCCGGAAACCCCGAAACAGCCGGCCAACCTCATCGGTTCCACCGCGGGGGGCGTCCTGATCGCCATGGTGGTCAGCCTGATCGTCAAGCGCGGGAGGGTCCTCCCCCRTGCCTGGGAGGAGGCCGCCTGGAAGTTCTGGCTGGTCAGCATCGCCCAGGGGGCGAGCGTCGGGGCCCTCTTTGTCGCCATCACGATCGCCCCCCGGATGATCACCGGGGCCGAGATCGGCCTCTGCGTCCTCCTGGAGGCCCTGCTGGGCCCCCTCTTTGTGTACCTGGCCTACGGGGACGCCCCGTCGGGCTGGACCGTCCTGGGGGGCTCCCTCCTGCTGGGGGTCCTGGCGGTCCACGAGGCCCTGCCCCTCTTCGAAACCGCGGCGGCCGTCGTGGTGCGGACCTCGGTCCGGCTCCGCCGGTCGTTGCTGGGAAACGCCGCTGCCGGGGAGGACGCTTCGGGGGACGGCAAAGGCGACGGCAAAGGTCCAGGCAAAGCCGGAGACGAACCGGGACACGCCGCGGAAGCCTCCCAGCGTGCGGTGGCCCCCGGCTCCGATGGGCCTTCTACCATTACTGCCAGCCCAAGGGGGGCGGAACACTCCGAATGCTAGGTTGGTTGGTTGGTTGGTTTCGTGATGTTGCGGGATTGGGTCCGACCTCCTTTCGGGCAGCGGAACCTGCCAAAACGAGAGCAAGGCAACAGGGGCAGGCAACAAGCATCCCCCGAAACGCCTCGGAGGCGACGCCTGCCAACTCCGCGTGCTTCGGTGCAAGGCGAAGCCGGTGCGACGGAAAACCACCGAGCTCGAAATCGCCGGGAAAGGGAAGGACGTCCAAAAAAAGGACGCAAGGGAATCTCTTCCCCCGAGATTCGGCAGTGCGCACGAATCCACGCATTTGTGGATCACTGCTGCGCCACCATCCCATGCACGTTGCGTGCCGCTAACGCTAGAGGTTAACATAACGATTGCCGATTCGAAAAGAAAGTGTAGGTTTCAGGACCGAAGCATGCTGCCAAAACACACCGTGCTCCTGCGGAGTATTTGCGATTTGATCACGTCCCGCTAGAGTGAAGCGAAGGCTAGCAAGTGTTGTATTGAATTGAATCGAAAGCTAACCCACGACAACCTTCACGAATTGAGCGACAACTGTTACTGTGTATCTATTATCCCATTGGTTAGAAGTAGACGAAAGAAATTGTAGAATGAATACAGCTCTTCCTGTTGGAGTTATTTGTTATTTGGACTCGTGCTATTCTTGATTTACAAGATCTCCACTTTGGTTGGTGGCTTTGGTACTCTATCGGTGTTTCCGCGACGACCTGACTGGAATATGGGGATTCTCTTCGCCCATGGTCAGAGATAGGAAGGGTTCACGGATACGATACGTACGGCAGCTTGCAGGATACAAATTCGAAATTCACCTACCTCGCACGGGCACCAGAGAAAGGAGTTTTCCCAGCAGCGGGCTCGTCGGTTGGTCTTGGCAAGAAACGACGGAGACCACGGACCCAGCGCCGACGCCACCGCGACACAAGATCCTCGCGGTTCTTCCCAGCACCTTTGCCGGACCGTTCGATACGATCACGACAATCGTGGTTGTGACAAGCATTGTTGTTTGTTTGTTTGTTTGTTTGTTTGTTTGTTTGTTTGTTTGTTAGTACAGTAGTTAGTAGTTGGTTAGTCCGCGGCCTGGTAGCACGGTTCCCACCGGGACCCTTCCCCGCCGCTCCCGGTCGTTTCGTCGTCGTCCCCCCCAAAGAGCTCGTAGTTCTCGCGCTGTTCGGGAAGCGTCCCCCCATTGCCCGGGCAAGTGCCCCTTCGGTCCCACGCCGCTCCCAGGTTGCGCATCAGGACCAGCGGGGACCGCAAGGTTGTGCGCGCTTCCCAAGGCTGCCTCCCTCGGTGCCCTTCCGTGCCCGCTGGGAGGCAGTCCGGGGCGGCCCGGAGGGGCCTGGTGCGGAGGGACCCCCTTGCCCCTGGTTTCTCCCTGCCGTAGGCGCCGACGTACCAGCGGGCGGCGTCCGACCGGAGCAGGAAGGGGTCCTCCTCGCACTGGCGGAGGACCGGCCCGAGCAGGGCGGGGGAGGAGAGCCAGCCCCGGGTGGAGGGACACGCTCGGAAGGTGTCCGCTTTGCTTCGGGCGTTGTAGAACTCGTCCACCAGGAGCCGGACCAGCTTCAGCTGCTGGAGCGGGGTTTCTTCGTCGCCGAGCATGCGGGCAAAGAGGGCTTTCCCGTCCCTAAAGGTGGCCTCGTCCATCGTTTCGCAAGAAGAGACCAGCGGGGAATCCCTTCCCCCGGCACCACACCCCAGGGGCTCTTGCGAGAGCAGGGGGAGCAGCCGGGAGAGGACGCGGAGAAAGCGGGCCGCGCAGAAGAGGGCCCCCTTCCCGGGCCCGATCTCGTTGCTCGGCGATGCGGAAGGACCCCACCTTCCGCCCTTTTCTTGGTGGGGGGAGAGGAGGTGGCGCCTCCACTTTTCCACCAGGCAGCGGGAGGTCTCCGCGACAAAACCCGAGAAGGCCCGCTTGTCCTCGCCGGCGAGGCCTTCCAGGAAGAACGGGCCGCTTCCCGCTTCCCGGTGCCGGCCGCATTCCTCCAGCAGCACGTCCAGCAAGCGAAAGCGATGGTGGACACGAATGACGTCCCCGTCGCCCTTTTGCGGTTGTGGTGGTGGCTGCTGCTGCTGCTGCCGCCGCTTGGTTTCGAACCGCCGTGCTTCTAGAGAAAGGACTCCCCCAAACCCCGTGTCCAGGACCTCGGCGAGCCACTCCACGGCACCGGACGATCGAACCACAACGGGGAGTCCCTCCCGCCCTAAGGTCTCTTTCGTGGTGCCGTTGGCGGCACCCTTTCCGCGATCGGCCCGGGTGCCGCAGCGCGAGAGGAACCGGATCCCGAACGAGGCGCGGCGCACCAGGGCATCGTACGCGGACGAGGGAGGCGGGTCTCGCTTTGGCACCAGGGTCCGTGGGTGGTCCCACGGGTCCCTTTCGGCAGAGATCAGGCAGGCCAGGGTGTCTGCCGCGAGCCGACAGGGAGGATCGCATCCGCAAGGGTTGTGGTCTGGTTCGCTGTCGGGCAGCGGTTGTTGTTGTTGTTGTTGTTGCGATCGGTTTTGTTGCTCTTGTTGTTGCTGCTGCTGCTGCTGCGTGCGGCAACCGGCACGGTGGCCCAGAACAACGCCCAGCAGGGCATCGGACAACCGGTCGTGGATCTCCAGGGGCGTGGAAGGGTCGGCGACGAGGGAGATCCACCACCGGAGCATTCCCGGTGGAATTGCCGGAGGGTGGATTGCGGCTTCGACCGTGGTTGTTGTGCTTGGAGTTTGGGAGGTTGTTGCTGCTGCTGCTGCTCCGCCGACCTTGTCGGACAGGCTCGCCGCCATCGCCGGGAGGTACCCGGAGGGATCCGCCCCCACCAGGGACCTTGCCACCACCAGGCACGGATCCCCCTGCGGTTCCAAGGGTCCTCTACGACCGTCCCCCTCCAGGAGGCGATCCACCAGGGCATCGGTCAGGCCCCTGGTCAAGAACCGGTCGGGGCCGCTTCTGCCCATTTGCTCCCTGTCCCTGTCGCGGTGCTTCTCCAGGACGCCCCGGAGGAACCACGGGGAGGATTTCGGGGTGTAAAAGCCGGAGGTTTCGACCCTTTCGCACAGGTCGTCGAGGACCGATGCGTACGGGAATCCGGGGGTTCTTGTGGCGTGGCTCTTGCCGTTGCCACTGCTGTTGCCGCTGCTGCTGGCAAGAGAGGGAACCCCGCTCGCAAAGGGGGTCGACACCACCGTGTCAAACATGGCGGTGGGTGCCCCCGGAAGAGCGCCTCCGCGGAGCTCTCCGGTCAGGGAAGGGAGGGCGGGGGCATTCGCCGGAGGAACCCCGAGTCGAACAGGCTTCTCGTCGCGCTTATCGAGACCACGAACCGGGGAGCTGGGGCTGGGGCTGGGGCTGGAGTTGTGTAGTTTTGTGTTGTTTGGTGTTCCTCCCGTGTGACGTTCTGTAGTGCTTGCCCCAGACAATTCGTACCCGAGTGATGTTGGCGTGATTCTGTTCCCCGCAGCGCTGTTTTTGTGCAAGGCTCTCGGCGTGGTCCAATTCGTTGCCTGCGGGCTGTTCAGCGGGGGAGCGATGAACAATCATTTTTGAAACAGTACCGGTACTGGTACTTTAGCGTACACAGTAAGGTACCGTATTATGTTCGTACTATCGCATTTACAGCACTGCTCCTGTCATTTTTCCAGTCGTGCAGAGGCATCGGTGTTGGAGCGAGTTGAGTCGAGACAGTCGATTCGATTCAGTAGAGATTCAATTGATTCGGTCGATGCGAGTTCAGTCCAGTCGAGACAGTCCAGTCGAGACAGTCCAGTCGAGTCAGTCGCATGCCCTTCGAACACAGACGGCGTCGGTTCCGCTCGGGGGCCTAACAAACGACAAACGACAAACGACACGGGGCAGAGCAGACCTCGCGGAACGATGGTGTGGTGGGATCGTACCGTTGCCCGTAGATAGTTACTTACGTACAATAAAGTACTGGTGGTACGTACCGCCTTCGAAGAGTAGTAGTACGGGGACTTCGGGAAAACGTACGAGTACGTGCCGTACGGTACGGTACGTACTACCGCCCGGTTCCAAGTTTTGACATGTAAAGCAACGGGTCGTCCATCGAAACATTCGAAGACGCTACGGTATCGTACAGTAAATCGCGGCAGTGATGGGAAAGAACTCCGAAAACTCCTTCTCCCCATCACGAATGGAAAAAAAAGTAAAAACGATCTTTTGGCAACCTCGGGAGTTCGTGCCGAACAATTCACAACCGCATCGTGCTGCATCGCATCACTTACCGAGACCCGTCGAGACGAGCCGTTTGCGAGACTGTTCACTGCCTTCTATTTCTGCAGTAGAATCTTAGAGCGGAGGGCAATACCCTACGAATCAAACACCAAGCAACAAACAAGCTTGTTCTCTAGTTCTTTCATTAGTACAGTATCTACTTCGTATATATATATATATTTATATATATCCCTCTCTTTGACAAACACACTCGCAGACGCAAAACAGCAAGCAAGCAAACAAACAAACACTACTCACCCACCCACCCAACGACCGACCGAGATGAAGGCCTCGCCCGGGGGATGGCAGTGGCAGTGGCAATGGCGGCGGTGGGCCGCAGCGGCCGCCTGCTGGTGGCTCGCCTCCGGGCCCGGAGGGCCTTCCACCCTCGCCTGGGCACCGGGGCCGCGAGGGAGGAACCAGCGGGCCGCAGGCGCAGCTTCAACGTCAACGTCAACAGCAACGTCAACGTCAACAGCAACGCCAACGTCAACCGTGCGGTTCGCCACCAGCTACGGAGAACAATACGCGGCCTTTGCCAAGATGCAGAAGCAGCTGCAGAACCAGAACCAACAGCAGAACCAGCAAACCACGCCAAAGAACGAAGCAGAATCTACCGGAACCAATGTCATTGCGGAGCCTGGAAATCCAGAAATCGGCAACAAGAACAATGACAACAACAGCAGCAGCAAGAGCGACAGCAGCAAGAGCCAGCTCGGCTACGAAGAACAATACGCGGCCTTTGCAAGGATGCAAGCCCCGCTGCCCGACCCGCCAAAACCAAAACCAAAACCGCCAGTCCCCGGGAGCGTCCACCGCAGGCCCGCTGCGGGTGCGAGTGCGAGTGCGAGTGCTTCTGTTGGTGCCACATCGAAGGCGACCCCTGCCCGGAACCGCGAGGAGGAAGCAAGGCTCGAGAAGGCCTTTCTGGAATTCATCTCCGCCGGATCCTCCTACCAGTCGAGGGCCGTCCCGCCCCCGGAGGCAAGGGTCGAGAACTACCTGCACGCCATGTACTCGCAGAACCTGTCGACGAGGCTCGGCTTTCGGGACCTCGAACCCCAAGCAAGACGGCCCGTCGACGAAACAAAAACAAGCACAAGCACAAGCGCAAGCACAGGCACTCCTCCCTTGGAGGACCGGAACGAGATCCAGAACCACAAGCGCAACCGGAACACCCCCAGCGACACGGACGACACGGACGGCGAAAGCGCAAAAACAAACGGCGTTGTGGATACCTTGCCCCAAGCCGGACCGGACGCTGCTCCGAGCGGGCGAGAGATGTCCGCCTTTGACTCCCGGATGGGCGTGGACTACCTCTCTGCTCCCGGAAAGGCGGAAGGCCCGTCTCTGCTGCCGTCTCCGACGTCGTACCTGGAGATCCTGGGGACCGACTTTTCGCTGGGGGAACGATCCACCCCGCGGGCCGCAACTTTTGCTGCTGCTGCTGCTGCCACTGGAGCGATGCCAGCGGGTGCCCGCGAGGGTTCTGCCCCGGTGGTCCTTCCACCCGGTGGAGCCGGGAGCGAGGAGGCGATCCTTCGACCCGCGCTGTTGCCCACGGCCGGCGAGGAACCTGCTGCTCGATCGGTTCGTGCAGAAGCAGATGCTGCTCCTGCTTCTGCTGCTGCCAAAGGCCCGGAGGAAACAGAGGATTCCTTTCGCAACCCGGACCCAATCACCAAGGTCGGGGACACCACCACCACCATTACTCCTGATCCCTCCGACGAACCAACGGAAATGGACCGGTCCTACACGATCGARGTCCGCATCGAAACCACCTTTCCCTCGGACGTCTCGGTCGATCGGGCCGTAGAGGGCTGGCTGGAATTTTGCTGGGCGAGGGGCGGCGGAATCGTGGTTCCCGCGCAGGCCGATGCAACGCCCCCGCGAAACGAAACCGACAAGGAGCGGGAGCCGGGAGCGCAAAGGCCCGAGGAAGAGATCCCCACGGTCCGGGAACTCATCGTCCCGCTCGGGATGAAGCAGGAACTGGTCCCGACGACCAAGGATTCCCCCGCAACGGCTTCCAACCGCTCGTCGGCCGAGACCAAAACCGAAACCAAAACCATCCGGCGGGAGGTCGTCTCCTATCGGACCACCCAGCGGGGATTCTTTTGCCGGGACATGGTCCCGAATTCGCACGAGGGAAGGGTGGAATTCATCGGGGCACCCTACACCTCCACRAGGATGATATGGGTAGAAACCTTTCGCATCCAGAARGACGACGGTGTCGGCAGCGAGGACGAGGAAACAGAAWCCCCAGAGGGGCAACAAACACCAGCCGAAACGGACGAAAACGGCTTTGGATTCGTCTTTACCACCAAAACCATCATCGACGAATACTCCAAGCAGCTGCTGGAATCCAATCCCAGCCTGCAATCGATGCTCGCCAAGGAAAACCTCTGGGGCTCCTGGTCTCAGTTCCAGCTGAAAACCGCAACGCACAACCTCATTGCCTACCTGGACAAATCGATGCCGACCATCGAGCACGTCGAAAAAATGCCCCCCGGCGTGGGTCCGGCAGAAGCCATGGAGGCGTGGTACGATTACTACTGGCGCAGGGGAGGGGGAGCCATTGCCGTCGTGCCCGCCCCCGGAACCGAGAGCGGGGGCAGCGGCGGYAGCAGTAGCACCAGCAGCGATCTGCGCTGGGTCCTCCCGTCCGCCCTGGAAGAAGAGCTCCTCTCGCTGGAATTCGACCACCCGGCGTCGGAATCGGGAGGCATCGAGATCGACGGGGAACCGGAGGCCGAAACCGAGATCTCCAAGGCGGTCTACCGGGTCAACAACCCCAACCTCCTGACCTTCCCCGTGCACTACCACCGGGCAACGGTCACCTTTGTCCGGGAAACCAAAACCACACCGACCCAGCTCGTTTGGAAGGTGCAGGTGCAGCCCTACCGCAAGTTCATGGCCGGGAGCGTGGAGTTTTGGACCAAGAAGGGCATCGTTCTGGCCTCCAAAAACCTCAAGCGCTACCTCGAGGACCGCCAGCGGAAACAAAGGAAGCAGGAAATCAAGGAGCAGCTCAAACGACTGGAGGAGGAAACCCGGGCCCTCGAAGAARCCAGGGAGGAGGAGGAGGACTGGATCGTGGACGACCTGCTCGCGTCCCACGAGGACCTGCGGGCCTTTCTGGGGGGCCCACGCGGCGGGGGCCGCGGCGAGGCGGAACGAACCTTGGATGCACCCTCTCTGCGCGATCCGGAACCGGCGGGGCCGCCGGGAGGCGGTGGCAACGGCCGTTCTCGCGAAAGAATGCCGCCGGTGCAAGATGCAGAAGCGTCGCTGCTGCGGCAGGGCAGCGACGACGACGACGACGACGACGACGACGAACCAGAAATCTCTCCCAAGCGGGACGCGGCTCCCCCTTTTCTTCGCGAGAGAATCCCGCCGGTGAAAGATGCGGAACCGGCAGGGCCGCAGCGAGGCAATGGCAATGCCACTTCTTTCGAGAGGACCACAGCTCCCCCTTTGTGCCGCGACGGAGTCCCGCCGGTCCAAGATACGGGAAAAACACCGCTAGAGCAACCTTCCCGTCGCGACGGAATCCCGACGGCGAAGGACTTGGAAGCGACACGGCTGCAGCAGGGTGATGAGGACGGCATCACTCCCGGAGAAACCACTCCTCCCCCTTTCTTTCGCGACGGAACCCCGCCGGTGCAAGCGCCAGAGGTGCAGACACAAGCGTCWAACTCCAAACGCCATGGCAACGACYGCGAAAATTACCAGGAAACGMACGTTCGGCCTGCAGCGGAAGATSGGAGCGAGCMGGAACCACGRTTTCGAGCGGATGCACCTCCTTCACTCTTTCACGAYGTGACCCGCAGCGTCTCAAACAAGGGCGAGATCGACATYGAGAATCACAGGAGGAMAAGCCRMAAKGGGAATCGGTCCCCCGTCGAGAATCAACAAACGGAAMGCAGYCCATACCAAGAAGCACGCAAGACAACTCCAATTTATCACTCGGTGACCCGCGATATTCGTCGGGAAGGAACAAGGAAGATCGACAACGAAAAGGAGGACGAGATCCGTACCAARCAAAGCAAYAATGGGAGCAGAAAATCCCCAATCCATAACGACGAAACGAAACGCAACCGGCCACGATTCGAGGAGCAAACCAAGAMGAAGCAAAGCCCCTACGTCAGGGTACGCCCAACCGCTCCGATTTATCACACGGTGWCCCGCGATGTGCGTGGGAAGAAGCAACCGGTCATTCTTCCGATGCACGAGTCCGGAGGAGAAACCGGATCCATGTTTCGGCCCCGTCCCAAAACAGGCAACGCGACCATCGCGATCGAAGTCCCTCCCCCGGGCAAACCCTGAGCAACAGGAAGGAGGACGTTGTTGATGCGTCGGAATTTCTGTTTCAATTCGTTTCCATATTTTTTATGCATTGCATGTACCTTTTAATTACCTGTATATTTTTTTAAAACTTCTGCGAAATGCCTTCCACATTRAAGCGATAMTTTCTRGAAAAGTAGATCTACCAGTGTATTGTTTCGGATTTTATTGCATGTACCTTGAAATTACCTGTATATTTTTTTTTACTTCTGCGAAATGCCTTCCACATTGAAGCGGTAATTTCCAGAAAAGTAGATCTACCAGAGTATTGTTTCGGATTTTAGTTGTAAAAATTATTTCCTCTGTTTTCAATCGAGGAAAACGCTGGAACAAACACGCACAAYGCGGCATCTTTTTTGTGGCTGTTGTTGGAGCCACCCCATGGAGTTTCGTGCAATKGTGTATCAATTTGCCCTCGCRCCGATGGCTTTGCATCGGGGGCAGAGCTTGGRGGAAASCCGCCATGGCAAGGCATTGCACGGTCTTGTGTGGTCGGCTTCGAGGAGCCGAAAACAGAMCATCCGAGACCGGTCAAAACGATTGGGATCGAGTTTCAAAATCCTGTCAGCCGACCAAGAAAACCGCCGTGTGAACGTGCAATGAAATATTGGACGATGCGGCATCGTGTTGCTGCCTCTGGGCAGCCAAAAAAAGACCCGGCGGCACCGGTAAAATGATTTGGATCTGGTGGTATCATTTCGGCAAGCCGGGGGAAAACTCCCGTGGAAACGCGCAACGAAGCCTTGCGGTTGGTTTGTTCCTTTGTTCCGCCCCCTCCGGTGCACTCGTTCGGATCGGGCCAGAAAACACGCGGACACCCGCTCCGATGGCATCGCCGCGAATCGCGACCGAACTGCCGGAAAATTGCAAAAGACTCCCGGCCCGCGTGCTTGCTGCTGTGTTTGATCGGACACGTGCCGTGCCGTGCAATGCCACTGCAACCCCGCCCTTTAACTGCGGCGGGTGTTGATGATCCTGAGCAATTCTTTCGTGAGTTCCTCTTTTTTGCAGGGAAACGGCTTGAACATAAAGGCGTCGCAGCCGGCGTTGAAAAAGGCGTCTTCGACGTCGTTGGCCGACAACCCGCATATGATCGGCTCGTGGAATCCCCTTGCCCGTATGGCTCGGACGGTTTCGGTCCCCAGCAGCTGCTTCTGSGTGCTTGCCATGTACTGGTCCATAAAGATAAGGTCAAAGCCGCTCGGCGTCTGGGTTTCTCCGCTCCCGGCTTCTTGCGACGTGATGAGTTCGATGGCGATCTCCCCGCTGGAGGCTTCCCGGAGGGACCAGGTGGGGTTGATCTTCTTTAGTGTCCGGGAGAAAAGCTTGCGGAGTATCGTATCGTCGTCCACAAACAAGACGGAGAGATTCAGCGGCAGCTCGGTGAGAAGGCCCTGCCCGTCTCGTCTTTCGCTGGCCGGCACCCCCGCTTTTTCGGCGGGGGCTCCCCCGGGATCCGGGGACACCGCCACCGGAGACGAGGAGGGCACCGGTGGCGGCGTGGCGGGCTCTTTTCTCGCTCCGATGGCTCCCGCGGAGGGACGGGGGGCCGATTCGTTCCCGGTGTTTTCGCTGGTGGCGAGCGTGGACACCGTCGAGTGCGACGAAACGGACGTCTTGGCTTTGGGCTGTTCCGCGGCAAAGTCGACCGAGTGTGGCGGGGCCTGCGGTTGCGGACCGACTCCGTCTTCTGCGGACGGTCGATCGCAGTTCAGGAGCCGGCGGCGCAGCTTGGCCCTGTCGCGGGGGGGCAGCTGCTCGTCCAGGATCGCGTTTTCCAGCTGGAGGGGCGGTTTCCCGAGCTGTATCACGAAGCGGGTGCCCGGGCACCCTTCGATTCCGCTGTGGTAGTCGTCGTCGATGTAAAGGTTTCCGCCCATCAGATCGATCAGCTTCTTGCAGAGGCTCAGACCGATCCCCGTCCCCTGCTGGAGCGAGTCGAGGCTCTGCTGGAACTTTCCAAAGACGCGCTTCCGCTTTTCTTCCGGAATGCCCGGGCCGGAATCGTCCACGTACAATTCAACGAAACCGGTCGTGGCGTTGACCTTGGCACTGCAGCGGATGAAACCCTTTTCRACGAATCGGCTGGCGTTGCTGGTGAGGTTCACAACGACCTGTTTCAGGCGGAGGGGATCGGTCATGATGACCAGCTGGTCGTCCTCGTCGATCTTGTTCTCGGAGTTTCCGCTCCCGCATTCCAGAACGACCTCGAAGGGGACCTCTCGCAGGTGCATCATCGCTTCGACGGGTTTGAAAATGTCGTTCATGATGTCGGTCGGCTTGATCTCGATGGGGATCTGGTTGGACCCCGCCCGCTGCATGTCCAGCATGTTTCGCAGCAGATCGTTGATGAAGTGCAGGGATTCGTTGATGATCTTGACGTCGTCGATGACCTCGTCCCGTTTTTCGTCCGAGGAAATCAGCGCCTGGTGGGCCGTTTCGAGGTCTCCTCCGGCCCGGTTCTTGCCGATCGATTCGTCGGTGGCACAGGCACCGGCGTCGTTGGTGTCGCGGGACTCGCCGCGTCGTTCGTCCGCTGGAATCAGCGCCTGGTTCTCGATGTCGGAGGCCTCGGTTTCGCCCTCGCTGTCGCCGTCTCGATTCTTGCCGGATTCCCCTCCGTGCAGCATCTGGTCTTCCGTGAGGGCGCTCATGACAAAGGCACACGCGGACAGCGCGGCCGCGAGGGGGTTTCGAACCTCGTGGGCGATGAAATCGTTGAGGTCTGCCGTGCGTGTCGGGCAGGGTCAAAACAAAAAAAAAGAGGACAGACGACGGCGACGAAAAAGGGTTAGGACCACGACAGAACAACCGGTGCGATGCGAGTTCCCTTTTTGTTTCCTATTCCTCGCTTTCCCAAACTACACTGCACGACACAACACAACACGACACGACACAACACGACACAACACAACGAAGACACGCACCTCGCTCGTTCCGGGCGGCCCGCCTCGCGTTCTCCACGATCATGCCCGTGGCCTCCGTGACGATGTGCCGCTGTCCCTGGAAGACAAAGGCGTCGTAGCCCGCAAAGATGCCGGCCGTGAAGACAAAGATGGCCACCACCGCCAGGGCGTAGAGCCAGGGCTGCTTGGTCCGGTAGGAGTTCCGGAACTCCTCGCTGGGATAGATCTGCAGGTCGAAGTGGCAGTGCCGGGACTTTCCCTTGGGGTGCTCCTTCCAGAAAAACCGGGAGGTGTGGTTGAGGTCCTCGTACTCCCCGTAGCGTTCCTTCCAGTCGCCGAAGCGGACCGGGTTTTCCTCCACGTGGTTTTCGGAGCTGAGGACGAGGGTGAACACCGATCCGCAGTCCGAGACGACCTTGACGACGATTCCGCGGACCGCCTTGTTTTGTTTTTGTTGCGAGGTATAGGGATCGTCGTCTACGGCGGCGGCGGTGGTGTTGCCGCTGCCGATGCCGCTTTCTTCCGTGTCGACCTCGAGGACGTTCCGGAAAAAGGTGGACCAGGGGACGATTCCCACCACAAAGCCGATCGTTCTGGCACCTTGCTCGAAGGATTCCTTGACCGGATCCAGCGTGATGCTCATCACGCTCGACAGGGTCGTTTCCCCGGTGGCGCCGCTTTTTGCGCTCGGGTCGTGGGGAGCCCGGAGGGTCGTCGCGTGCTTCAGCGGGTCTCCCACCGCCGCGGTCGGTTCCGGTGGCGAGAGAGATTCCAGCAGAAAGCCAACGTCCAGGTATTCGGAGATGACCGGGACGCCGTATTCGATCGAGGCCACGACCTCCTTCTTGAAGATCGGGTGGTGCCATAGGTCCATGAGGGCGATCGATTCGCTGTTGGGATCGATGGTGCTCCCGGGGCCCCCCTTGGGGTTCGGCCCCCCGTACTGGTAGATGGGGGCTACCAGGCCATCGGGGCTGGCAAAGCCGCCCGTTTCGGAGAGGATTTCCTCCATGAAGGAATCGACGTCGACAAAGCCGTCGCGGTCTTCTTCCGAGTGCCCGTGGGGGCAGGGAAAGATCTCGACGTAGCCCGTTCCGGTTCCGGTTCCCTGGTGTTGGTTCGTGGCATCGGACCTTTCCCGGGTTCTCCACGGGGCCCGGGCGTTTGCGTAGGCCTCGAAGCCGTCCTTGTCGGTGTCCTCCACCAGGGGCACGTACATGATCATGGTGGCGCCGGCTCGCTGGCTCATGACCTCGATGCGCTGGTCGAAGTGCGGGATGGTAACGTTCGGCCAGGCCCCCGTTCGGTAGATGGCATCGTCGTCGTTTTCGTWTTSGTKKTYGYKGKTSSTKSTCSKWCKCCGRCKYYYGMTTTCGMKTTCGCGTTYGYKKYTGYTGCTGYTGYTGCTGCTGCTGTTGCTATGGCTGTCGCTGGCGTCGGTGTAGTCCAACCGGTGGGAGTAGTCCCGCTCGAAGAGCCCCGCCGAGGTGAGGGTGGTGGCCAGCGTCTGGAACTGGGAGAAGGTGTGGGCGGCGTTGGTTTCGGCCAGGGCGGCGGTCTCCCTGGCGTAGCTGTGGAACTCGGACTCGAACTCCTGGTGTTCCGAGTGGCGGACAAAGAGAAAGGTGGCCACCGAGAGCAACAGGCCGGTGCAGAAGAGGACGGCGTAGACGAACTTGGTTCCGGACCTTCCCACGTTGACGGCCCGCTGCTTGTCCATCATGACCGAGGGGGTGGTCCCCGTGAAGGAGGACGCCTCCTCCTCCTCCTCCTCCTCCTCGTCGTCGTCGTCGTTGGACGCCCGGGTCCGGTTCTTGCTTCTGCCCTCGAGATCGCCGGAGTGGTCCCCGGTGGCCCGGGAGCTCCCGGTGCTCCGAAAGCTCGTCCGCCTCGCCGCCCTGGGCCTGCTCGTTCCGATTCCGTGTGCGATTCCGTTGCCCGCGCTCCCGCTGGCCAGGGTGAACTCGGCCGAGACGTAGGGCGATTCGGTCCCCCCGCTGGAGATCGATCCGGGGTCCTGCAGCGAGAGAAAGGAGCGCTGGTGGGGCGGGAGCTGCTGCACGGCCTGGTGCTGCAGCTGCAGGAGGATCTGGGACTGCGACTGCGACTGGGATTGCGACTGGGACTGCGACTGCGACTGGGATTGCGACTGGGACTGCAACTGCGAGGGAGAGTGCGACTTGGCGGCCTGCCGGAGGCTGGGAAAGTTCCGGTTCCGCTTGCGGCCCTTGCTTTTCTTGGCAGAAGCGGAATCGTGGTGGCCGCTGCCCCTGCTCGCGGCCTCTTCCTCCCCCTCCTGCGACGACTCGCCGATCACGTGCATGCTGTCGTTGGCCTGGCTCTGGCTGCAGTGGCTCTGGTTCATCTCTCCCGAGAACTCCAGGTCCGAGATCCAGCTCTTGGAGGAATTGCTCCTGGAAGACGTCCCCGTGGTCTGTATCTTGCTCCGCTTCTTGTTGCGGCTGCCGCTGCTGGTGCTGGCGTCGCTCTGGCTGTTGCAGTGGGTGTTTCCGGTGCTGGTGCTTGTGCTTTGGGCGTTGCCGATGCTGCTGCTTTGGTTCCGCCCGGCTTGTCTGTGGGTCTTGCTTGGTTTCGCGCAGCCATTGCTCTTGTGTTTCTTGTTGTTGTTGCTGCTGCTGCTGCTGCTCTTGCCGCTGCTCTTGCTGCTAGAGTGGTTGCTGATGCTGTGGCTGATGCTGCCGGACTGCCGGTTGTTTCCGGACCGGACSGTCCTMGCGCTGTTGAGGCTCGYCMRTCCCATCGCCTCGCTCGCGTCGTTCTCCGAATCGCCTCCGGGAGTGTTGCCTCCGGTCTTTCTCCCTCCCCAGGCGATCCTCTTGGCGGAGGAACGAATCCATGAGTTGTACCCCATCGAACCCGTTCCTGGCCTGGCCTGGTCTAGGSTGGCCTAGCAAGCTAGCTAGCTAAGAGAATTGAATYGAATYGAATYGAATYGAATYGAATCGAATCGAATCGAATCGCGAGCCKTGCCCGGAAGGATCCCAGAGTCCTGCCTTCGCAAGGTGGAGGGAAGAAACGGGCAGAGAAGAAAGGAAACAAAGAAGGATTTTCTGTCTCCCTGCCGGTTTGCTAGTTTCCTTCCCTTGCCCCTTGTTTCTCCGTCTCGGGTGCGCTCTGCTTCGCGTTGCGTTGCTTCGCGTTGCGTTGCGTTGCTCTGCGTTGCGTTGCTCTGCGTTGCGTTGCTCTCCTGCGCAACACCGCAAGGCCGGGTGCCAAAGAGGCGAGGGGATTTCGAGCGGGGGGTGTTGTTTCGGATGCGGTTCGCGTCGCGTCGGTTTTTTCCCTTTGCAATGATTTCGCCGTGGGAGTGGGTTGGGTGCGATGCGATGCGGTGCGGTGCCGCCGGTTTGTTCCTTCGATTCGATTTCCTTCGACTCCACGCAGCGCTTGCTGAATCCAACACACCCAGGAAAGGTCAATAAAGTTCTCAGAGGGCCTAGGAAGGGTGGTTTGGTTTGGACGCTAAAAGGACGCTAAAAAGTCTCGTGGTTTGGACGGCGTCTTCGGCCTCGGCGAGTTGGCGTTGTGGGGTGCCCGGAAGGAGCGGAAACACATATGATGCTGTGACGGGGGCTTTCGTTTAAATACTTTTTCGTCCCGGGCATAACCCCGTGTTCTTGGGATTGAAACGTCCGGATTGGTAACAGTTTCAGGGTGGGAGCGCAGAAGGGTTTTTTTTTTTCCTCTCTCGGCGACCAACCGCTGAAACGAACGAAAGGCAAGCACCGTACGAGAGGTACGGAACGGTGCTCGTATCGTACTGTACGGTACGGCACAAACCCAATGGATCACCCCCTTCGTCCGTGTCCGACGGTGGTGGGGGGTTCTGTCCCCGACGTAATTACAAGAATGGCTTCTCTGGATTTCCGGCAGGACCTAATACGGGTGGTGCAAGCTTTGTCGGAACGCACCAACCATATGTATTGGCTTGAGGTACCATTGATCGCCATAAGTGAAAATTTTTAATAGAGGCCTGAGATGCATCCATAAGCACGGGCTGCAATGTTTTTAGATAACTGCCTTTACGAAACTTGCTTCGTTAAATTCGTCAATGACCCTCTAAAAAAGACCGGTACTGGAAATGAGACCACAGATGCAACAGAACACTTATCCTTTTTTTCTCGTAGGGTTTGCCCAATAACCCTGTCGTTCGTGAATCGGGATCCTTTTAAACAAACCACGCTGATGTGTCGAGCCAGACCGCATGCGACCTTTTGGGGTCGTTAAGCACAGCACCTTCGTTCGAATTGCGTGTCTAGCTGAAAACAGGGRTCCGTRAGGTTCTGCTTCCTTTTGGTTCCGTCRCCCCGAAGAGAGTTTCCTAAGCAACCTAGGGTACCTTCACGCACMTTGGTCGCGCATAAGCAAGACGAAYAGGCACAATCTATCTAGAGATTGGTAACTCAAAAACAGAACATTCCATGGAAAGATAAGTACTAMGCYGGGGAGCTTAAAGGACTTGCGAACCAACCACGGGGTGTGATAAAACTGGATTTCTTGATGGTTCGGGGTTCGTACGGCACGGACTCTTTCTAGGGAAAATAAGCTGTCTCGCCCTTGGTGGGACGGATCGAGGGGAGTTTTAGAAACAACAATATTGCCCACACTACCAAATGAAGGAAGTAGGGTACAGTAGTACGTACTGTACAGTACCATAGTGGAAGTATTCACCAGAGAAACGCTCTGTCCCATTGAATTACGAAGAACTATATCTCCTTTGTTAGATTACAAAGGTACGTACGGTACAGTACTACTTCTCTGTTTCAAACCTGGTACCGTACGATACATAGCGAAGTACTTCTAAATGTACTTTTTCCTTTTTCTGCTTGTGGTTGCGGATTGCGGAAAGGCCATGTACCGTACGGTACGTACGTACGAAACCTACAGTCCATAACTTCGTTGAACAGTTAACAGAGAACAACAGTAAACAATAGAGCCCTACTCTTAGATACATACATACAAAAGGTATGATAGTAGAAAAAGCTCAGTCTTCCCTGGGCCCTTTTCCTTCTTTCCCACCATCTGCGAACTACCGTTCGAACTCTACTACCGTTCTTTACGATACATACCGTTAGGTATATATCTTCGTACTAACACAAATAAAAGTAATTCGATCGTACCTGTGACCAGGGGTCATAATTTAGAGGGGAGCGCATCGAATCGAAATCGAAAACTCAATTTCCACCTTCGGTCCAAATTTCCAAAAAGTCACCAAAGGAATTTTTTTCATTCTCATTTTTAATGCATCATACTGGTAAAACTATCCAACCTTTAAGTAGTTACAGCTCTATCTAAAATACTACTATTTTAATTTTGGAGTAGCCAGCCTAGTCCAGTTTTTTATGCTGATTCTGAATATATCATTGTCTTGGATATTAAATTTATATTTGTGGTACTATTTAACTGTTGAATAATGAACATGATTTTCCACCGTACAGTACTAGTACTAGTACTAGTACTAGTACTAGTACTAGTACTATTAGTACAAGAAGTATTGACTATGATACACGTATCGACTAACAGTTTGAAATTGTATTCTGTGTCTTTCGAATTGCAACGAGTACTGTAATCCGAATGTGATAGCAGTTGATTCCACTCTATGCCACCCACTATAATGAGGATGCATTCAAAACAGAAACAGCTACGAAATGAGTCTATAGATGAAAAGGCTGCACTGAAAAATTAAACATGCTACTRCTCAAAATTGATATCACATCCTTGTCCTGTTTGAACATCCAAACCGAGCCTGGCTACTCAGTATGCTGTTTTGATTACGCAATAGTCATCTGTTCTCCACGTTCGCGGCGTGTGGCTTTCAATTTGTTCCGAGCAAAGGAGGAAACATCCCGCTTCACTTCAGGCACACAGGCTATACCAAATTGCATCACCTCTTCCTTCTTGGGGTTGACAATCTTGACGCGGTTGTAACGCTTGAAAGTTCCTTCGACATTCTGCAGATGCCATTCAGCCAAACCAACTGTACTGAAGCGGATAGCATCGAGAAAGTCGAGAAGAGCCTCTTTCTCGCCGTTGACGATGGTGTCCCTGTGCTTCATAACCAGGTTGTCAGCGAGATCATCGTATTTCTCGATCGACTCAACAATCCGATCGATGAACTCAGTCGTAGTCTCAGAAACAGTGGTGCCCTTTACGATCATGGTCGACGTAAACAGAGAGCCGCACTCATCCTTGACGTCCTTGGGGATCGAAGCAACCTCATTTACTTCGCGGAGGATCTTGGAGTACTGGTACCTGAGGGCCAAAATGTCTTCGTGTAGTTCACGGGATGGAGCGAAGCTACGAGCGAGAGCAACCAGCTCAAAGATTACGGTGCCCCCAACAGCCTGGATTCTCGCCTCCCATTGCTCGTTGATCGCATCTTCATCTGGATACAAGTTGCAAAGCTGCTCCATTTCATTCGTCAATGCGTCGCACCAAGAGATGAAGGTTTCAGCGTAGCGATCGAAGCTTGCGTTGTCMGTGCCACCGCAGACCGAGGCAACACTATTGAAGTGGAGGAGCCAAAATTCCATGAAGGAGCTTGAGTCCTCACTGACAAGCTTTTGGGCGAGTGTGGGGTCATTCTTCTTTGTTGCTTTGACAAGCTGAATGAGACGATCAATTGCGGCGAAATCTTCTGCCTCTTCAATCAAATCGTCCCACAAAGCAAAGGCGACGATGAATTGATGAATGTGGTAAGCCCCGAGCTCTGTTGTGCTTGGTTGAAGGCGCATTTCCCCGCCGAAGAGRCCACAATCAACCTGATGGAAGGCGGACTCGACGTGATGAAACGCTCCCGCAYCAATCAATTCGGATCGGARGCGATTCTCCATRGCCAMRGCCTCTTCTTCCGATGAGAATTTGGTGGCATCGGGAAACCAGTGAGGAGGAAATGCTACGTTCCGCTCGTCAACACGAAAATGAGAGGGGACGTCTTGCGATTTCGTAACGAGAAGTCCTTCGAGTTCAAGCAATTCGCTGAARCTCGAATGGTCGGCACTTTCGTTGAGCGCAGTCGAAGGGCCACGGGCGGTAGCGATGGACATCGAAGGTACAAAGGCGGCAGTGGAGCCAATGGCAAGAGCGGCAAGTGCCGACTTCATATTGACAACAAGAGGCATCATTTTGACGATGAATGGAGCATACGATGGATGGCGGCGAATTTTCTCGGAGCTGATGGTATTTATGACTCTGATAGATAGAGAACGTCAAACAAAAATTGGACGCATGATGGTCCGTTGCAATCGCTAATCGCAGCGAGCAGCCGAAGTAAGCCACGTGGCTGTTTCTCAATTCTCAACGGTGACCACAATTTTCCGAGATCAAGCTGCTGATGTGGATCTTCTCATTTTTTAATGGGAATCTCATAAAATGGAACAAGTGACACAAACAATGAATTGATGGGTTTGTTAAATGGGTAATGAACTTTTACATATGGTAGGGTAATAGGAGTGGTCCCAAAAAGTGAGACCAATGGGACCACCAGACCACCTCAGTTTGTTGTTCGACACTATTTGTGTTTTGGATATAACAAGAATTCATTCGATATACCTGTGGTTTCTACGTAGATTCAATTTGTATTTATTGCTTCCAGAATGAAGAGCTTACGAATGTTCCTATGGCCACTATTTATTGACCTGAAATTACAACAATAAATAATCCAAAAAGAAGTCATTTTGTTGCCTACTAGTGTACTGTATGGATTAATATTTTTAGTTTGTACGACAACTAAATTACTTACCTTGCACTTGTTTTGGGGTTGGGGTTGTTATTTAGTGCTCTCAACGACGTGTCGACTCAGAACAATAGCGAAAATAAGCAATAGCATTTGAACAAACGCAGGCACCTGCCGTCTCTATCACAGTTTTTTGTTCTCGGCATATTTTTTATCATTTTATAATAATAAAATCTTCAGTGGGTATAGAATTTGCGAATCGATCTATTCTTATATGGCATTATGAGGTCTCCGATTTCAAACGCAACGGATTTTCGACTGAGGCCACTGTTAAGTGAAAAACTGTTTGCTCGGAAGAAGCTTGAATCAAATGTTCCAATGGCCACTATTTATTAACCTGAAATTACAACGATAAATAATCCAAAATCCAAACATAACAAGTCATTTTGTTATGCCTAGTGTACTGTTACTTATCCGTGGGTTTACGGGACTGACCCATTAATTTTAATTTATTGATCAATAAAGTTTAATTATTGGCAAGTTAGAAAGAATTTTTCCAAAGCGTGACCTTTCCCCCATGCACAGTGACGAATCTCGTAGAAGGCATACTAGTATTAAGGACCAGCAATAGAAATATTTTGGGACTACTGTACCGGGTACCCAGAAATTAAACAATGGAAATATTTTTATTTTCGTCCATTGGATGCCTTTATTAACTGGTTTTAACTGTAAAAATGAGCTAAAAATTTGTATCAGTATTTGTACGGGGATTGNCACAGTATTGTTGTCGAACAATTTCACAGAGTGTCTCGAGTCTCAAATTAAAAAGATTGTGAATTAAGTACACCGTTTACCAGCCTCCCACACCGCGGCAGACCAAAACACACCGAACGGCCAAAATGATCGACGCCATCCACGCCGGTCTGGACTACCTCATCGCAAACAAGGACTACCTTCTCCTCTTTTGTTTCTCCGTCGATGCCGTCAACACCCTGATCAGCTTCCCCCTCATCGTCTGGAAGGGTCCCAAGTGGCTGCTGAGCTCGACGGAACCGGGCGCCAAAGAAAAGCTAGAGGACGGCGACGCCGGCACCGAGGTCGTCGATCTCTCGGACACGGACCGCAAGTCCTTCCGGGTCCTCTGGGAAATCTTTACCATCTGCTACGAGGGGTATTTCGGGTTCACCGCCAGCACCCTGGCGTGCCTCTACACGGCCCCGGAAACGAGGCCCCTCTTTGCCTACCCGCTCTTTGCCCTCTACGTGTACAAGGCGAAGGCGTACATGACGACCCTTTCCACGGACTCCRCCCAGGCCAGGGCAAAGCTGGGCTCGATCCTCTTCTTCTACTGGCCCTGCTACGGCGGCTACTGCCTCCTGCACTCGATCGAGTGGGCCCGGGGCCGTGCCTGAGGGCCGGCAGCGGTGCAAGGGCACCCCGGCGGTTCGGCAACACTACCACGTACAATRGCGATGGTGCCAAGCAAGGAATGCACAAAAGGGCCCGCGGTTAGATAGCTATGCGGAACAGCAACRCCYAAATAGACGTGTCTTATCTAGAAAGTTTTTGCAAGATTGTTTTTGGTTGTTTTGACCGACCCGTAGAAAGCGAGAMGCGAATCGAATCGTATTGTACTCCAATGACTGCGCACATCGTGTTACAAATACTTGCTCCTCAGCGGAGTGTTCTTCCGGTTCCGCAGGATGTTACTGGAATMGGTAACAACACGATGGCAAGGCATGGTATATCCCCATGGCTACGTGCTACTAAGAAAATTAGAATCAGCAGCATTGTTTGTGGCAGTCTTCCTCCAGAAAGAAGAAACTGGTGCTCTCCCACTTGGATCGGATGGGACACRACCGGCCGAGTCTGCTGTTGGTTCCTATTGACGGGAGAAGTAGTCGGGATACGAAATCCTCGACCTCGGTCGCAATGAACAAACAATGCAAATCCTCTTTCAACGCTGTCTCGAAATACAAAGCCACTTGCTAAAATCTTAAAGTTCGAAAAGTGTTTACTACTTTTAGTACCTTCTAAAAAGCCTTCCGATGCAATTCGAATCTGCCCTTCAGAGTTAGTTAGGACTCCGTATTATGAAGCCATCTGAATACAATGGTATCCAACCAGTTCTTGAGTGTTTGATTCCACACATCAGCAGCATTTGRCACTGCCCTCTTCCAACCCCAGAGGCAACGCCACTTATTTTTTTCATATTTATCATCAGTTAATTATTTCAAAAWATTCTCAATTTGCTATTCAGGACTCCATGATTTGGCTTTCATCATCTTCAAACAAATCATATGAATAGTAGTAATAGTTGTCGTCGTCGTCATCGTCATCGTCGTTGTCAAATATTCCATAGTCGTATCGAAGTTCTAACAGTTTTGAAGGAGTGGGCGAAAAAGAAAACATGAGAGGTCAAAGAACGAGCAGCTCGGTGGTTTTGTGCAACGCGCGTACTGCAATCGCAAATAAAAGAGAAAAGAACAAAAGCCGAAACAAAACGACGGCAACGAACTTGTTCACGTACCCTCCCCTTTTTGGAGATCCCTACTGGCTTGCATGGCTCCAAGCTGGCATTCGGAGCTTTGGAGAGAAATCTTTTTCAGTGGCGCATCGTCTTCGTCTTGTGCCGATTTACGAGCGTAACCTTCCAAGCCAAATGACTCTTCGCGAGTTTTTGAATAGTAAGCGTCCTCGAGTGTATCGGCATGAGGGTTTCCCTTCGAATCGTTGAACAGCGAACCGTGGTCAAAGGCAACGCACAAGGATTGGTGGGTCATGTTAAACAAAAAATCTTCTCCATCACCTATTTCGAGCAACGACTTTTCGTCAACAGGGGCGGAAATATACGTCCACATGAGAGCGTCGCAAGCCCAATCATGCGGTGCTTGCTCTTTATTTCGTTCACTGCTGTGATCGTGCAGGTACTCCATGAAACGCCGGTAGGTTGGGAAGGTAGGAGTTGAATCAATACCTTCGGAGCCTTGAACCATTGGAGAAGTGAACGTCGCCGTGTAGCTTCCGTCCCAAACGAGGGTTCCTTTCGGGATATGTGTCGTTGTATACAAAGCACGTCCAATCTTGCTATCGTATCGAACTTCGAAGGGGATATTCATTCCCCGCCATCTACCGAATTCATTTTGATTGTGTGTTTCCTTTTCGGTSGATGAAGTCGGTTGCTCCATTCCCACTGCGAAATAGTATGCTTCCTCAAAGAACTTCCACGTTTCTTCTTCCGTCGGAAGTCGAGAATACGGTGCATTAGACAARCCTTCGACCCTTCCAGAGACTTCAATSTTCGTTTCCTGGTAGCCAACCCCGAAGATGTCACTGTAAAGAGGACAATTGAAGAGTTTCAATAGTCCCATTGTGGCATGCGGATCACCGTCATTCACTTTTCGATAGTAATCGTCCCACGCCAAATCTGCGATTGTTTTCTTCCCCCCRGTGCCATCATTGGAATTGTGCTCTGTATTARYATCAACTGGGCCACTTGCTATTTCGGATGCAACGGCATTCGAGAGAAGTAGAATTCCAAAAAGTGAGAGTAATCTTCCCGGGTGTGCCGCCATCCTTATCAAAGGCATKCCTTGCATCTKATTATGGATTTRCTCCTCCTAWTTTAGGCTATTTTCCCCAGATACCTGTGAGTGTTAACACACGGGTTCAATTAAGCATCGGTGTCGAAAGGACAAACCGTTGAAATAATGAAGATCTTCTGCGGTTTACCCTTTTCATWTTTTCTCACAATTGTAGACACGTGCGCAATACCTTTCTTGAGCAAGCCGCGCTAACAAAAGAATTACATACTTGAAGTAAAACAATAAGACAGGGATTGTTTTCTATGGCYGAAAAAAAAATAATTTCGGCGCCGGAATACAGTATTTCAGTAGTACAAACATTTCTTTGATTTAAGCTCGACTGAAAAATAGCTATTTACGCAAGCCGTTTGACGGCGCACTCCAAATACGTTAGGAATCTTCTATTTTCATTTAGGAAGAAATGGTGGGTATGCTTTGTTAAAAATAACAACAGAAAAGTCTCCTTCTTGAAGTTAAGATTGAAAATTGGTGGTCGAGTNCTGGGTTCTGAGTTGGATGGGGACCGTACGGTACGTTCGTACGGGTTCTCTTGTATGAGTCATAATAACACAACCTTCAGGATACTACTAGGGACCTGTCACTCCTCCAGTTCTTCATCAATACCCAACCAATTTTGCTCACAATACAAGTGTTCTGTTCCCTGCATTAAGGGGAAAAGTATCCAAAAGTTTCAGATCAATTGACCAAATGGTTTACTAGAAGTACTGGAAGATCTACTACTAGTACTAAGCACCAGCAGCAGCAGCAGCACCAGCAAAAAATTGCATCTTCTGTATCAGTGGATGCCATATCAGCAGATTGTCCTTCATATAGTGTCCTCAGTATCAGCACCCTCCATATCAGGGAGTGTCCTCCTATGTATCAGGGAAAATCCTCACTCCTCCTCTGTATCAGGGATTGTCCTCCGTACTATCAGCAACTTGAAATCAACATAAAATAGTTTCGTCTTTTTCTGTAAGTTAACAGCTTCTGGTACGAGGTATAAATTAAGACAATAATTCCATTCATAAGTCTCTGTAGATGTTTTACTGTTGCAGCTGTCATGTCTTATTTTGTACCTAAACTCTTACTCAGAGTCATAATTTTAGAGGGATGGGTGACACACGCATCAAACCTCATCATGTGCATGTTCCATCATCAAAAAATTTCACAAGAGAATTTTCTCACTTCATTTTTACTGCATGTTGCTAGTACTAATATAATTTTACTAGTACTGTTACTAGTTGCACTAGTAACAATGTTGAGGAGAATCTTTTCCTTTGTTCTTCTTACAGGTGATGAAAAAACTGAGGATTTGTGCAGGAGTGCAATCTTGCTAGTAAGAATATTGCTGGGTGATTCCTCCTGTTATTATATSAAATGGCCCTGTGCTACTACAAATATCTGAATGTGTCAGCAGTTTACCACTACTAGTAGGCAATTCAGAACAATCAGAGTACACTTTCTGCCAGTTCAAGCAGACCAATTTTTGGGWTGTTTGTGGTGAGCATTTGGAATATTCATTAAAGTACAACATTGCATTTGAAAAGGGGGTCAAAGGTTCTCTTCAAAGATGCTACTAAATCTTTACTAACCAGAACTTGTCATGTTTTTTGTCCATCAGTCTATCAAATCTACAAGAAGCACATTTATGATTTTAGAAATTGCCCATTCTTCTTCCAAAAATGATGATACTAGCAGTGTACTAGTACTACTGGTAGCACTACTAGTAGTAGCTGTTGTGCACAAATAGGAGAAAATAAAAGTAAAAGGAGCAGAATAGGAATTTTACCAATAGCTAGTATGTAATTTAAGCATGCATCTCTTTGATAATTTTGAGAAAAATTGCCAGCAGTACTACTAGTAGTAATACTAGTAGTATTATTGTTGCTTTCCACCAGATTCTAGCTCTGCACTATAATATTGGTTTATGATTTCAACCAAACTTAAAAAAATAGTATTCATCTGTCAATTATTCCTTGTTGTCAGAATGTGATGGAAGGTCATTAGAACCCATCCCCTTTGCAAATGGTTTCACCCCAATATTACTAGTAGTTCTATTGTATAAAATGGGCACCCAAATCTAAACACCACCAGTTGTACTACATTCTTGGCCTGTAACAACTAGTTTGACTAAACATACACCAAGCCCCCAACTAGCAATCCAACCAAGAGGATCCTAATGAGACCACCAGTATCACTCAGCTGGATCCAGCCTCAGCAGTTCTTAGTATTGACCAGAAGAAACTTCTGGTTTTCATGTTGTTGTTTCCGATATTAGTACCAGAAAGCAACAACCATCCCTAGCCCCAGTATTCATCAACCAAGACCTTTCCTTTCAAGAACAACACATRGAGAATGTGCTACATACTTAGTTTCAAGATTCTCCAGCCTCTCCACMATGTAGTTCCAGTATTATTTACTGGTTGTTGCTTCCAACAACAGCAACACCCTCAGCCCCTTTGAAGCAATACAACCAAGATGATGYCATTTAGATCAGAATCATTCCCAGTATTCCCCACCACCAGCTGTTTTCAATATGCTTCTGCAGCTGGCCCCATCCCCAGTTCTCTTGGACCAGAAGCACTGTATCATCTGTCTTGAAGTTGTTGTTTCCTTTGTTTGTGTTGGATCACAGCAACAACAGCCCCAGCCCCCAGTATTCAACCAAAACCTATCCTTTGAAGAACAACAGCTGGGGTACTATATGCTAAGCATCTCMATGCAGTTCCAGTATTCACTAGCCAGAAGTAGATAGATTCTGGTCACAATGTTGTTGTTTCTGACATTGGTGTTGGACAGCAACAGCAACAACCCAAACTCCTCTTGAAGCAATTCCACCAAGCTGATGCTGACATACTTGGTATCCTTCCTCCTACCCCAGTTCTTATGGACCGGAAGCAGTCTGTTTCCAGTCACCATGTTGTTGATTCCAGRATTTTTTGCTGGACAGCAAAATCATCCTGCAGCTTGACTGCAACCATCAATGTTTTAACCTCCACCTCCACAGGTTATGGGCTTGGCAATACCAAGAAGTCATAGTTTTTGTTTTATTTGTCTTCTATTTTTACTTTTTTATGACTACTCCTCCAACACCTGTGTYCTTGATCACTTCATGGTCACTTGACTTAATTTGCACTCTTGTCCTTGATCAATGTGGGGAGAGTTGCATTCTGCCTTGGCAGTGCACTTTGAAATGATCATGGCATGGTGCCCATCCATCCAAACTATGTCCTCTGAATCCAGCCCCATGCCTTATTGGCTTGCTAGTATGCATAGAAACTGGTGGTACCTCAASAAAACCTCCTTGGAGGGAGGTGCCGCCCTTTGGAGCAGCTAGGAGCATTCTTCTCCCTAATCAGGAGAAGTTATGGTTCTGGCAAACATATTGCCTCTTCTAGTTCATGAGGTCAAATATAATATCAAGATTTTTTAAAGAAAACTAAATGTATGCAAAATGCACGTGCTCAGTACTAGTGTTGAATTTTCAGTCCCACAAGTTGTACAATCAAATAGTTTTGTGTGCACTTGCTCCTCACTGGCTCATTTTGCTTCAACACATGCTATTACTGTAGTACTAGTYGTATATGTCCCACATTTCAATCCCATGAGTCAAAACATGGTAAAAAGAGGGCCCAAAATCAAGGCAAAGTATAATTTAACTGTATGACTGTTTTAATCTTGAACTGACAGTTTGAGCTGTATTTTGGTCCCCAAGGGATGCTGAAATATGATAGGCACATGAATTCAAAGTCCCAGTGATATTGATTGAWATAATTGTATGTATACAACATTAACAATGTACAATTGAATTGTTGGGAATTTTCTTGCCCAAGCTATATGGTAGTATTTTTCTGTATGWGGGATTGATTATTTTTTACACCAAAAGGAAGTGTCAATAGCAGTGTTAGCTATAGGAATCAAGTCATTTATTATTTTGAGTAATTAAGTTATTAGCTTCTGCTGGTTTTACTTCCCCAACAAGGTTAGGAAAGAAAATATACATGAATTACAAGGATTCTGTGAAAGTTGAATTTTTCTCATTGCATATCCTAGTTTGAGACAAATATTCAATTGGGGTCTATCCCTTGCATTCTTGCTACAACTAGGAACAATCATCAAGACATGGTGGTGGTTTGTGGGTGCTTTGTACTATAATTGTAAAGAACTCCTTGTTGCTTGCTGGTAGTCATACACCATTATGTTGAAATCCAAGAAGTACTAGTAGTACCTGTCTGTTGACAATTTCTTCCTCTTGCTCTTGTTTGGTTCTTGTTGCTCTAGATCTTACTAGTACTACTCCTACTTGTGGTGCTAGGCAGCATTGCTCTTGAAATTTAAAGCATTTGCTAGTAGATTCTACCCTACTATTA